AATAAACCAAAATTGAACGACTGGTATCACGAAAACTCAATGACAGTTGTATTGGAATGAACTGGAGAACAGAGAGAGAGAGAGAGAGAGAGAGAGAAGCGTGCAGGTAAGTAAGCTTGCAGAAAGTGAAAGTCAACGTATCGTGACCAACGAGATAATCTTGGTCCGGTAAAACAAGGTCTGGAAGATGGAAAAGGTACATGAGCAGAAAGGATTGACACTCACTACAGAGCTCCCTCCCTAGAAGACTATGGAGAGCGTGTGGGTGCAGTCTTATTGTCTTTTGAAAATCAAGTAGTTGAAGCAATTGTGTAGTACGGATGACGTGAGGATATTTGAAACAAATTAGTCTGCAGTCCCTTAANTTAAGGTTCGCTATTTACCCCGTTATTTTAATCGAAAACGGATGTGTTGGTGATGGATCCGTCACAACTGGGTACGAGTCAGTAAAGAGCTGACCGGGGCTGTCAAACAAAGGTCTTCGATATCCTCAAGATTCTGGATCGGTAGGTTGGTTGGGGTTGGGGGGCAAATTGAAGTTCTGTTGTTTAGGTTCTCCCTTGTGATCGGTTCATGTTCTCTTCTCCACGGGTTGTTTCCGGAAAGGAAGAGAAGAGAACTTCGAAGCAGCCCTAGTTGGAGCTGATTGGTAACAGCGAACACAAATACCAAGAATGAATGAGAAAAAAAAGTTTTTGTTTTTTTCGGTTATGCGAAGAAAAACGAGTTATCAGTAACAAGTTGAGCGTAAGGAATCAGTTAAGGTGGATAAGGAGAGAAAACATCCGGTGGGTCGACAGAGTACTATGTTAACACTGGGAACGAACTGGTTTACGGACTTCACGACCGCGGCGGTCGTGCTTTACCAGTATCGACGGCGGTGTTGAGGGGTGGTTCTCTGTAGGTCTGGTTGGTGTGCGGTCTACCGACGGAGGATCTGCAGCTGCTGTAGGTGTTATAGAAGTGGTGTCGGCCTTTAGTCGTTGTAAACGAACGGACTCCTTGCCGTTAACTTGGCATACTTGTCTTTACGCATGATAATCTTATGCGGACCGGAGTATGGTGCAGGCAGAGGTGCGCGGGTGCTATCTACGAGAATAAAATCGTGCGTACAACGCGTAAGATCCTTCGGTACGTAAACGGGTACTGTTTTTTGCCGTGTGGTAGCAGCGTGTACCTGACGCATGTGATGCGCGAGTCGTGCGAAATTTGAGTAGTTAAAGCTACGTTGGGGCTTAGGTGAAACGAATTCACCCGGAAGACGTAACATGCAGCCGAGGGCCAGTGCGGCCGGTGTAGTGTGCAAGTCGGCTTTTATCGTATTCCGAATGCCCAACCCAAGTGGGGCAAGAGTTAAACGCATTGCGGGGTGGTAGTGTAAATGAACAATGGGATCAGATTAGCCGAGCAATGCACTCCGCAGCGAACGTTGCCTGTGGATCTGAAGCAGTAGCCCGTCCGAGGCATTGGATATCTGATGAGTCAGTAGCACTGATGGAGAAAAAACATCAAATCCGAACCTCCCGGNGGTGGCGTCTACAACGTCATCTCACGAGGAGTCTCAAGAAAGACAGAGAACTGGTTGGCAACGGTAGCTTGTGAAATGGAAGTGGCGGCTGCATCAGGGAATAGTCTGAGACTGTTCCAACTGATGCGCAATACGGGAGATGGGCGAACCACAGTTAGTGAAACAATCTGCCACAAAAGTGGGCAAGCTATTCATAATAGGGAACAAAGGCTTGACCGGTGGGCGGAGTACGAGCAGTTCAGCTGGCCAGGCGCTAGCCAGGTTATCTCCTCCGATGTAGCTGAGGCTCCATGGGCAGTGTCATCTGAACCTC